ACAGATTAGAGCGGCCGGTGAATCCGTGTTACAGTAACCCGTTGTCATTGGGGCGCGCTGTTGGATTGGAGCATGGCACACTGGCCCTTTAAACTTTTAACCATGGAAGGATTTCTTCGAGTGATTATTTTCCTTTTTATGATAGTATTCTGTATGATCTTTCATTTAGTTTGAAACGCAAACCTTCAATTGGTTGTGTGAGAACGTGTCATTTATAGAGTCAGATTTTCAGGTTCAAATAACTAGGAACTGTTTATTGCTGATAGCAACACTATTTCAGTTACTCGGATTGCCCGAAAAGTAGGTTTTCTATTTGGTTCGCTTTGAATTTTTTTCCGGATTAGTTGTCATATTCACTTATATTTCGCTGAAAAACTTTAACCGTGAAGGGTTATCTCACGTAAGTGCTGTGCAGACATAACAAACAATGCTTATCCTTGGTTACATAGACGCTTAGTTATACTCGAGGCAGAATTCACGTGCAGCCTCATCGGTCTAACTCATAGAAGAATTCCTCTGTAATTTAGTTTTTGAGAACATACTGTTTGGTAATGGGATACACCATACGTGAGATAGTGAGACTGGTTATTAATTCCCGAGAATTGGACGCAGACCTCTTAAATACCTGTTTTATTTGTGGAAGCTGTTTTGAATAAGGTGATCGACAAAGTTAGATTTTTAGGTTCAAAGAACTAGGAACTGTTCCTTGGTAGTAGCAACGATATTTCAGCTACTCGAATATCTGGAGAAGTAGGTTTTTTTACTTACTCAGCTTTGAACCTTTCTCACATATTAACATATATTCTGCTCTAGAGGTTATAATCGTGAAAAGATCCTTCTATGTTATAATGTTGGTCAGGTCGCTCTTTTCGATATCGTTACGTGTATATCTTCAGATAATCATGGCAGCTCTTTCTGAATGTTTCCTCTGTGGGGAGGAAGTGAAGCGCCTGTACGATCACTTATTCCATTCTCATCAGTACACGAAGGACCAACTGGAGTGCTTAAAGTGGTCGAGAGGAGAGATTAGGAAGCGGGGTGATGTGGAAAGGGATAATGCCATCTTTCCGTGCGACAATTGCGAAAAAGAGTTCTCTTTGAAGAATTCGTTATTAAAGCATAGAAAAACTTGTTTGGACTCGCACCCTTGTGGCCTAGGTAAGTGACGGATCAACAAGTACTTGTCACATCTCCATACGGAATAAATGAAATTGCAGAAAGTGAGAGGGTGAAGTGCCCGAAGTGCGATGTAACGGTGCACGACTTGAAAGAATTGGTGGCGCATTGCTCTATGATGCACTGCACGGATGAAGGGTACAATGTGGGTCATATATCTTTTGAAACCGAAGGCGACTTTGAGGTGAGGCAAGCATGACATGATATTACGACCACTTTGTCTGATCTCATGAGGTTTAGGAATGGATGAAGTCAGCGCAAGAGGCATCAGTGACATCATTTGTTCGGCGCAGCAGGAAAGTTGATGGGGACGCAACACGTATTTACTATAGATGCCATAGGTCAGGACCATCTGGTGCTTTCAGCTTCATCAACAAACACTTGCAAGCGTGTGGTCAGCCACTGTACCGCTTTTGTGCATGTAAGTCGTCGTAGAAGTAGTGAGTATTCCGATCATGTTTGGATGCTTCAGGCACGGGTTACTGCTAAAGGACAAGTTCATATAGAATATTGTCTATCTCATATTGGCCATGAACCGGATCCCTCTCGTTTATGGTTGGACAAGTCTAGCGAACAGTTAATTGTAGAACTGCTAAAGGAAGGATTTAATTATGGACAAGTCAAGCAGAAGATAAGGGAGAGGTATAGAAAGCCAGACGGATCAACTGGGAAGGAAAATCGTCTTTTCTTCGTAACAGTGGGCGATATAAGGTTCGGTTGTATGCTCTGTTACAATAGCACCTTGAAATGCAATAGCGTCATCCTTTCAGGGCTATCAGCCGGCGGAACAATCTGTTCCCCGGACGACGTGATTCAAATGATTTAACATCTCTGGAGAAACGTATACACGACAACAACGTTGGCGACGGATTCCGGTACTACACTCCAGTTCTAAACGACACAGGCGATGGATTTTGTCTTGGTACGGTAATGCAATGGTCAGGGACCAATCCATGTATATCGTTTGCATCAAATTCCTTTTTCAGTGTTAATAAATGAGACACAGCGGAAGTGGCTGGCAGAGTTCTCCCACAGAGGAATCGGTATTGACGACACATTCAATGTGTCTATGTACAAGCTGCGGCTTGCCACAATTATCGTTGCTGACAACTGCGACCGAGCACTGCCGGCCGCTTTCATGCTCAGTTTTAGGTGCAGTCCATTTGTCATGTATTTTCAGTACTGCATAGTAACAGTCTTATTACAGGATGAGTGAAAATGAGCTGGTAGCCTTGTTCGATAAAGTCAAGGAACTGGTTCCCACATTCGCGCCGGAGTTCTTTATGAGCGACGACGCCGCTTCTTTCTACAACGCATTCCGGCAGGTATTCCCTAACGCGCGCACTCGGAAGTTACTCTGTAACTGGCATGTGCTTCAAGCCTTCAAGCGTGCTGCTAGGAAGAAGTTGACAAAGGTAAACTCGTCACAAAGCTAACAGACACATTGTTCATCATTCCATCATTTAGACGTCTCTACTAGGAGAATTCATGACGAGGATCCGCCTGGTGAGCAGATCGTGTAAGCCTGTGCTCTTCGCGAAAAGATATGGGGACACGCTGACGTTTCTGCTCAATGAGAAGCAGCAGGAAATGGTAGATTATCTCCATCAGAACTGGTAGGTCTTTCTTCACAAGGAACTTCCTCTCACCTAAGATATCTGTTAAGGACACACCGAATAGAAGAATGGGGCGCTCAGCACAGAAAAAGGGCCGTCATGAACACATCTATGATGTGCGAGAGGTGGCACAAGCACCTGAAAAGAGAAGTGTTTAGCTCAAAAAGCAAAATAAGGATAGATGAGTTGGTCGATGCGCTCATAACGACTGTAAAGGAGATGAAGGAAGATGCCGAAGTGATAGTAAGTCTTTTTCCGATGAATGCAGTGGAAAGAATTTCAGTAAAATCATGTCATTTAGGAGCAGCGAGGGCTCGTTGAAGGCCGGTGGCGCCTCCGAAACCATCTTATCAATCACAACAAGGCATTAAGCGATTATGAGAAGCTGAAAGAGTTCATTAGCGTGGTCGAACCGGGCTTGTGGAAAATCCGCTCTAGAAGGTCAAACAGATTCTATATGGTAGAGGAGGAGCGTTGCACGTGTAAAAAGGTAGCCTACAAGAAAATGCACTCGTAGGTACTGTTTCAAAATCGTTTGTGCATAGGATCTCAATCCATTGCCGTAAGCCTGGCTGCTCCGCTTGCCCGTACTCATTTTTCTGTGAATGCGATGATGACCGTAAAGCGGGCATTTCTTGTGTGCACGTTCATGCCGTTGTCTTATATGCACCACAAGGTGAGTTTTCGATAAGCAGTTCAGACAGTTTCTTTGATATTCTTACTTTTGCTTTGCAGGGCGACTTGCAAATACAGAAGCTGTGGAGACTATCGACAACAATGTGGATTGCTGTGATGTTGCGCATGCTGCTCTTGATTTTCCTTCGTCTAGTTCTTCGCAGCTTGTTGAAGTTTCTGATCAAAGCCGTCTCGACACAAACAAGGAGCTACTCCAGCAAATTGAAATGGTTTCTTGTCACAGAACCTCAATTGTTGACAGTATCGCTATAATCTTTTTGCAGGTGTATGCTAGTATTCATTCGGGGCTGAGACGCATAGCGTCGCAGCCTATAGAGCAAGCTGAACAGTTGTTGAACGAGGCGCTTGTTTCCATGAAGCGAACGGATATGATTGTGAAAGGAGGGCTCTCCCTAATAGCTCCTGCTGCGAAGAAAATGCGAACAATCGCGCTCCGTCCTGAGGTTCCGCTCAGAGGACCTGCACCTGCTGATGCCATGCCCATCCGGATGAAAACAGTGAGCTTGAAATGATTTTGTCGGATTTCATTGGTCTCTTCTTGTCTTAACTCATGGCGCAGAGACAATTTTTCAGACGTCAAAAATCAACAGAGAAAAGAGGAAAAGGAAACTTGAAGTGCCGAAGGAGTTCGATGTGCGCGAAGTCAGGGTGTGTGGTTATTGCTTTCTAGAGAATCCGCTGAATGATTCTAATAATGTTGTGTATTGGTTGAAGTGTAGTTTCTGTGATTCTTGGGGTCATATGGATAGTTGTGCTGTATTGAGTGCTCAGTGCGCTGTATGTGGTGTGGGAACAATGCAGTACAGTGAATGTTGAGTGGTTAATGTTAAGTTCAAGTTTGTTGTTTATAAGGTTTCTGTTTTTGACTGATTGTTGTTACTCTTGTTTTTTGTGTAGATCATCTACAACATTGCAACCGCAACTACTAAGCTGCGCGCTATGTTCTAAATCTTGAACCTATACTCCATATTATTCACTTCTTTGGATATTTTTTTCGTTGTTGTTCTTTCATATTGTGCTTGTTCGTATATGGGTAACTCTGTTTGCGGAGCTCCAAGGGAATTCGCACCAATTACTGGTAGATTCATTTATCACTATTTCACTTATTCTCAGATACTCACTTAACACGGGATTATCACTTAATGCGGGATTGCTTACGATAGTTGCCGTCCCATTTTCTGCTAATCACTACTGTAATATGTGTTGAATAGTTTGAGAATTGCGCTCGTTTCAGCAGTGTATTGAAAATGCCTCGCTCATTGTATAAATACTATTCATTTCACTATTTCATAAATTTTTCATTAATAAGAAGTCATAAGTAAACTACTTCTGAAATACTTAGAGTGTAATACTCATAGTCTTAGGTTAAGAATACTTCATAATAAACTGAAATTTCAACCCAGTGAGTCAATTAGAGAAAACACAAAAGAGCTTGTAGGGGTTGTCAATGTGAAAAGTTTTCACTCATAAGAATTCATGAGCAAAAACTACTTTGTGTTACTTGTAGTGTTAATGCACATAATCACAGAAGCGCCATAATAACTCGAATAAATGGTACATTCAGGAACTAGGGTGCCGAAATCCCTACCGATGAAGTCAATTCAAGGAATCAACTATGTTCTTACACCTTCCATGGTTAAAAGTTTGAAGGGCCGGTGCGCCATGCTCCAATCCAACAGCGCGCCCCAATGACAACGGGTTACTGTAACACGGATTCACCGGCCGCTCTAATCTGTCTTGTACGAGCGCATTTGCCCGCGCAACTCCGAGGAAAGGAAGAACCGAATTATCGATTTGATCCACCT